GAGGTCTCTTCCAACCTAGACAATTCTGTGATTCTGACTGTGCGATCACTCTCTCGGTGAAGAACCTCACCATGATGTCCAGCCTAAACCTCCCTTATCTCAGCTTAACACTGTTCCTGTGGGTCCTATCACTGGTGTTTACACAGAGCAGGTCACCTGCCTCCCACTCCCCCTCACGAGGAAGCTGCAGACCACGAATGAGGTCCCCCTCAGCCTCCTCTTCTCCAGGCTGACCAGGCCCAGTGCCTCAGCCGTCTTCCCCTCTAGGCCCTTCACCATCTTCATCGCCCTCCTCTGGACACCCTCCAACAGTTTCATGTCCTTCCTGTGCTGTGGTGCCCAGAACTGCTCACAGCACTGGAGGTGAGGCCGCACAGCGCAGGGCAGGCAGGCAGGACAGTTCCTTCCCTCGACCGACTAGCGATGCGTGCTTGGTGGCACCCAGGGTACGGCTGGCAATATGTGATTACAGATCCCACACTGGTCTACCTCTTTGCAGGTGCCCTTTCCTGGGTACTGACTATTATTGTGGTTGGTAAACTCTCCTTTTCTATTTTTATATATTATATATATATATATATATATTTTCATATATATATTTATATAAATGTTGAGTGATTTTTGGAACAGCAAGGAGGCCATGACTTGTTTCAGCTGATCAAACCAAGCTTCCAGGGCGACTACGAGGAGTTCCCATGACGGTGTTCCCATACCGCCCGACTGAGGAATTAAAAATATTGTTGCCAGCAGCTGGCTTCAAGGACAAGATCTGCATGACTGGTAATCACAAGGGGGTTGTTTTCTTGCAGTGGGGTTGTTTTCTTGCTGTTGTCTGAGTGCATTTTGACCGATAATCTTGTGTGAGACCCTATCCGTCCATGTTAAGTTTGCTATGAGAATCAGGCTATTTTGGTAATAAAGAGAGAGCATGATCTGACCATACTGGTGTCTGTCATGTTTTCGGCCGTTCTTCCTGCGACATATATATATAATATAAAATCAGATATATATATATAAATATTTAAAGAACCAGTGATGTAGCCTGTGCTGATTTCCCTTGCACAGGCTCTTAACTGACCTTGTGGTCACACCACAGCTGTCAGTGGTTTCCATCCTTTGTGGGCTGTAGGCTTTTGGGTTCAGCTGAAGGTCCTTTGCTGTCCCCCTGATATCAGATGAGAAATATTCAAACATGAAAAATTAAATAAATAATAAAAAATAAATCCTACACTCACCTTTTTCTTCGCTTTGCTAGAGCCGCTGCAATAGAAGGATTCCATTTGGATCCTCTGCTGGTGTCCCCGCTGGGTCTCCTCAAGCACAGGATAGCTCAGTGCTATCTGGGCCCCAGCTCTGGGGCCAGATCCTGCCTTGGCCAGCTCTGGACCAGGTTTCTCGAGGGGGTGCGGGCCAGGGCAGACTGCTTTACAGACCAAACTAAAGCTGAGCACTGCCCTGGGTTGCAACAAATCCCGTCCCAAGGGAAAGCGCATCCCCGGGGCAAGGAAAGCCCCTGTTCCAGGCAGGCCGGAGCACAGCTTGCCAAGATGCCTCCTCCAGGCCAGGGCAGGAGCTCGTGGGGCCAGGACCCAGGCGCTGACAAGGGCTCAGCCTCGTGGCACTTGAGAGAAGAGCAGAAAAGCTTTTCTGCTTGCAGAGCTCGCTTAGCCCCCGCCTGGGACGCACCAAGCCGTGGTGCTCGAGGTGCCCGCAGCACCCTCCGGTGAGGTTACGTGGTCCGAGAGAGGACAGGGGCAGCACGCGTCCCCTTCCAGGGGCCGGGAGGGCTCTGCAGGCCAACAAAGGCACCGGCGGTGGGAAAAGCAAAGTCAGAGGCGGCAGAACTAAACCAGGTAAGGAACCAAGATCGTTCTGGCTTTCTGGATACCTGGCAGCAGGTGACCAGGTGACAGAGTCCCACACAGTGGCTGAAACTCGTCCTTCTCTTTCTTTCTCTGTGCAGGAAGATGCCCACTGGCAATGACAAGCAGGGGATAGCCCCAGGGAGCCCCCTGGCAGTGCCAAGGCCAGGCTGGATGGGGCTGGGGGCAGCCTGGGCTGCTGGGAGGGGTCCCTGCCCATGGCAGGGGCTGGAATTAGATGGTCATAGAAACACAAGGTTGGAAAGGACCTACAAGGTCATCTAGCCCAACCGTCCTGCTGTCACCAATACTACCGCCTAAGTTACTAAATCTTATCTCGTAGCACCTCCTCCAGGCACTTCTTGAACACTGCCAGGGACGCTGATTCCACCACCTTCCTGGGCAGGCCATTCCAGTGCGTGACCACTCTTTGAGAGAAAAAGCTTTTCCTGATATCTAAATCTCCCCAGGAGCAACTTGTGGCCATTTCTTCAAGTCCTATCATTAGTTATCTGAGAAGAGGCCGGCTCCCTCCTCATCACAACCTCCCTTCAGGCAGTTGTAGAGAGCAATGAGGTCTCCTCTGAGCCTCCTCTTCTCCAGGCTCAACAAGCCCAGCTCCCTCAGCTGCTCCTCACAGGACTTGTTCTCCAGGCCCCTCACCAGCTTCGTCGCCCTTCTTTGGACCCGCTCAAGCACCTCCATGTCCTTCTTGTAGCGAGGGCCCAAAACTGAACACAGTACTCGAGGTGCGGCCTCACCAGAGCCGAGTACAGGGGGACGATCACCTCCCTAGCCCTGCTGGTCACACTGGTTCTGATACAAGCCAGGATGCCGTTGGCCTTCTTGGCCACCTGAGCACACTGCTGGCTCATATTCAGCCGACTGTCCACCATCACTCCCAGGTCCTTCTCTGCCAGGCAGCTCTCCAACCACTCATCTCCCAGCCTGTAGCTCTGCTTGGGGTTATTGCGCCCCAGGTTCAGGACCCGGCGCTTGGCCTTGTTGAACTTCATGCAGTTGACCTCAGCCCATCGGTGCAGCCTATCCAGATCCTCCTGCAGAGCCTTCCTACCCTCGAGCAGATCGACACATGCGCATAGCTTGGTGTCATCTGCAAACTTACTGAGGGTGCACTCGATGCCCTCGTCCACCCAGCGCGTCACTTTGTCATAGAAGGAGATCAGGTTCGTCAAGCAGGATCTGCCTTCCATAAACCCATGCTGACTGGGCCTGATCGCCTGCTTGCCCTGCAAGTGCCGCATGATGACTCCCAAGAGGATCTGCTCCATGAGCTTCCCTGGTACTGAGGTCAAACTGACAGGCCTGTAGTTGCCCGGGTCAGCTCTCCGGCCCTTCTTGTAGATGGGCGTCACATTTGCTAGCCGCCAGTCAGCTGGGACTCCCCCGATAGCCAGGACTGCTGATAAATGATGGATAGGGCTTGGCCAGCTCCTCTGCCAGTTCTCTCAGTACCCTTGGGTGGATCCCATCCGGCCCCATCGACTTGTGCACATCCAAGTGCCGTAGCAGGTCACCAACCAGTTCTTTGTGGATGGTGAGGGCCGCATCCTGCTCCCCATCCCCTTCCACCAGCTCAGGGTACTGGGAACAACCAGTATTGCCGCTAACGACTGAGGCAAAGAAAGCATTGAGCACCTCCGCCTTTTCCTCATCTCTTGTAACTAAGTTTTCCCCCGCATCCAGTAAAGGATGGAGATTCTCCTTAGTCCTCCTTTTTGTGTTGATGTATTTGTAAAAAGATTTTTGTTGTCTTTAACGGCAGTAGCCAGATTGAGCTCCAGATGAACTTTGGCCTTCCTAATTTTGTCCCTGCACAGCCTCGCTACATCCTCGCTACAGTCCTCCCTAGTGGCCTGCCCTTTTTCCAAAGATTATAAACCCTCTTTTTTCTCCTAAGCTCAAGCCACAGTTTCTGTTGAGCCAGGCTAGTCTTCTTCCCCGCTGGCTCATCTTTGGGCACATGGGGACAGACCGCTCCTGCGCCATTAGGATTTCCCTCTTGAAGAGCGCCCAGCCTTCCTGGACCCCTCTGCCCTTCAGAACCGCCTCCCAAGGGACTCTGCCAACCAGTGTCCTGAGCAGCCCAAAGTCAGCCCTCCGAAAGTCCAGTACAGCGGTTTTACTGGTCCCTTCCTGGCCTCGCCAAGAATAGTGAACTCCACCATTTCGTGGTCACTCTGCCCAAGACAGCTCCCGACAATCACATCCTCCACCAGTCCTTCTCTGTTTGTGAAGAGAAGGTCTAGCAGGGCACCACCCCTGGTAGGTTCACTAACCAGCTGTGAAATTGCCGGTGGCAATCCCAGCACCACAAGAGCTCCTGTCCTGTGCCTCTCCTTTTGGAGACGCTGGGATTTCTGCCGAGCTCCTCTCCCCTCGGGCTGCCAGGCTGCCCCTGAGTGTCCGGGCGAGATGCTCGGAGCAGGGCCAGCAGCAGGAGCCCCAGCCAGCAGCGCAGGCTCAGCATCCTCCCTTCTCGCAGCTGCTGGCGTGCCTCACACTGCCGCCTGCTGTCTGCAAAGCCCCTGGGAACTGGCCCCGGCCGGTAATCTCTCCCGGTGCTTTTGGAGCACAAGGCATTAGGCGTAAGAACGCAAACAAACCAAGCCCTGCTGACGGCTCTGCACTTCTCAGGCTCGTGACCTCCAGAAACAGCCATCGGTTTTATTTTTGTGCCCCCCAAACTGTGAGAGATGTGTCCTCATGTGATATATGGCATAATAACTTGTGTCAGGAAAATGGTTGATGTTAATAAAGAAGGGGGAGATTTGGGAATGTGGCCATGGGGGTTGGAAAGCCCCGTGGTTGAGATAACATTAGACTCTTAATGATGAAGCCATCAGTAATATAAAAGAGTTTAGAGGGATCAAAGAAGGCTGATTCAGGACACTCCATGCAGTCTCGCGTTGCTTGTTCTCCAGCCATTAAGGCATGGAAGCTGCTGGGCGTTTGCTGGTTGCTGTTCTATGCAATGAAAAGTTGTTCTGAAGAGAACTCCCTCCTGGGGAAAGTACTGTGTGAGCTGCCAAGCGCACCCGATGAGTCATCGTCCTCTGGGAGGGGACGCTGCTGCCTACGTCACAGTGCATATATAAGAGGCGCTGCAGCAGATACTGACGGTATTAGGAGAGGCATTGGTGCCCTGCTCTGCTGCAGAACGCGTCTGCTCCAGACTCAGCGAATCCCTTGGATTGGGCTGGAGATATTTCCTAGAGCCAGAACTTCTCTCCTGGGGCAGGAAGCCAAAGGTCCAGGTCCCCACGGGGTGGGCACGTCGGTCAGAGCGAGCATCTCGGTGCGTGGCAGAGAAGCTGCTGCTTCCCATTGCTTAGCAAGGGGGGGAGCCGGGGCTGAGCCGCAACCTGCACATGGCAGCTTTCAGGACCTCCTGCCACCGTGGAGCTGGCTTTGGGTAACGCTGGTGTATTGGCTTTATGTGCCAAGGTTTGGTATGTGGCTGCCAATTGAGTGATGCTGATTGTGCCTCGGAGACAGCAGACTTCAGAAAAGAAAAGGAAAACAAAGAAACAAACAACCAAACAAACAAAAAAAAAAAAAAAACTGCTGTGAACAACAGCTGAAAACAGCAGCTGAGAAGAGGAAGGAGGAACACAGACAGAAACAGCCCTGCAGACACAAGGTGAGTGCAGCAGGAGGGCAGGAGGGGCTCCAGGCACACAGCAGCAGATCCCCTGCAGCCTGTGGAGAGGCCCCTGGTGGAGCAGGCTGTCCCCCTGCAGCCCATGGGGCCCACATGGAGCAGATCTCCACACTGCAGCCCGTGGAGAGGAGCCCACGCAGGACCAGGGCATCTGGGGGAGCTGCTGCCCACGGGGTACCCACGTTGGAGCAGTTTGCTTCTGATGGGTGCACCCTGTGCTATGGACCCGTGTGTGGAGCAGCTCCTGGGGAGCTGCATCCTGTGCGAAGCACATCTGGGAATAGTTTGGGCGTTTTATGGTAGGAACTCCATGCTGGAGCAGGAGGAGAAAGTGGCTTCGTCCGCAGAGAAATCGTTTTCTCACTATATTTTCCCTCCCAGCACTTCTGAGGAGGGGGAGGAAGAGAGCAGTGTGCTGAATCTGAGCTGGTGCTAGGACGGCTGTGCTGGGGCTCCGCAGAATCACAAGTGGGGGGTTAATTGGTTAATGGTTAATTCCAGGGGTGGAGCAAGGCTGCAGGAAGGCACAGCCGGCACAGCCCGCCCCTGCTGCTGCTGCTTTGGGAGAACAACGGAACCGAGGTGAGTACAGGGTTGGGAATGCAAAAAGGGGTTGGGGTTAGGGAGAAACGTTCCCGACACATTTTTCCTTTTTGCTCATTCCCGCTTTTGTTTTGACCACAACCTGCAGGATGAAAAAGAATTTCCCTGCTAGTTTGTGTTAGCTCCGAAGAGCCATGCGCCTCTACAGTTGTGCTGCTACTTTTAGAAGACAAAGCAAGATTTTTCCTTCTGTTTAATTACCGGTGAGTAGCATTTTTTCTGCTTTTCACCAGTTTTGGAAGTCCTTTTTGCTCTGTGAGACAGGGATAGCTGAGCTACACCTCTCTCACAACAGGGATTTGTATTTGCTAACTGGATATTTGACCTGAAGCTGTGGAATGATTTGCATCTTTTTTCATATCAGGAGAGTCCAATAGATCATTCCAGATAATTCATCTTGCAGTGAGGTTTTTATATTTGAGCTGTCAACAAGAAGAAATATCTGATTGCTGCGTATCTGCCCTCCCCAACCCCCCCAAAATAACTGTGATCCTGAGTGCAAGAGCTGAATTTGCACATTCCTGTTATTTCTTTCCATTATGAGGACTTTTTCTTCCCTATCTGAGCCCTTGGTGAGGGCTGATAACGACCAACCATGTCTGCTCCTCGCCCATCCTCTGTGCTTGCCCTGCACAGCTGCTGCAAAGTGGTAACACAAGGGCACACAGCAGTGAGGGGCCCACGAGCAATGCTGGGCAAAGCTGGCTGCAGACAATCCTGCTTCTGTCAGACCAAGTAGAAAATATTCTTGCTTCTTTCTGAGGTCTTAAACTGTGTGCGAAGCACCCAAGCTGGAGGAATGCGGTTCCTTTTCCTAAGGGAGCTGGCTCTGGTTACTCTGGATGGCTGTGTCCTGCTGAGGAAATGCAGGCCAGCAAGGCGAGGTGGAGGAGTTGCTCTCTATGTGAGAGAGCCACTACGTTGTATTGAGTTCTGCCCAGGGGAGGATGAGGAGAGAGTTGAGAGTCAACCAGAGAGGTGTTTCTGTACAGGCAGGGGCACGGCCGTCACGGGCAGCGGCTCTACAAATGGGTGTTGAAGGGACGAGGCAGAGCTGCAGCACTGCCAAGCTGCAGTGAAGGGAGGGCTGCAGAAAGCACCAGCACTGCTGCCTGTGTTGCCATGGGCTGGCAGCGCGTGGGAAGTGCTGATGGTGCTGAGGGTGCTTTTCACGGTGTCGTTCCCAGGCTGGTCCATCGCTGCTAGTGACCCTGCTGAGAGCGTTGCTGCAGAAGGAGCTCAACCCTCGTGGTGGTTTGAAAGCACCTGTGGCTCTTTGCCATGTCCTTCGCAGGCTGTGAGCGTGAGAGGGGACTTGTCCTTGGGCTGGGTACCACCGCGCAGCCCTCCTGCTGCAGCAGACCTGGGAGAGGTGGAGAGCGGGCACCTGCAGCATTTCCACGCTCGCTTGCACCTCTGTGCTGCAGAAGGGCTGGTCGAGGCGTGAGCATCCTGGCAGGTGCCTCCCAGTGCTGCAGCCTGGGTCCCACCAGGTTCAGGTGCTGAGGGAACCTGGTGAGGTCCAGGGGTGAAGCCACGCTGAACGTGGTCCCACTGAGCAGCTCCTGACATGCAGAAGTCCCCAAGGAGCCCAATTCCTGTTGTTTTCATTCCAAAGGGCAGGGAAATATTTGAACCAGCTAAGAACCATTTTTATAACATGTCCATAATGTTATGTTTTTTTCTTAAAAAGCAAAAAGGGAGGATGGAAATCAGACGTGCACAATGGGTTTCAAGAAGTCAGTTGGGGCGTTTCCAAGAAGAGCATAAGAGCAGCTGAATTTGTCCTTTGGCTTTTGCTTAGAAGTAACCCACCCTGCTCTGGCTTCTCTCCTGTTTCCAGACCTGCTGCTGCTTTTGCAGGTGTCCTGTCTTGCAGCAGAAATGACAGTGCAATGGGTAGAGGAAGGATCCTCTGTCATGATGCACGCACCAGCTATCAGGAACATCAACTTGGCCAAGTGGGAATACATAAGAGAGAACATCCCTGAATTAATCCTGCAGTACTACGCAGAGTCGCAGTCAGTAACCATTTACCCAGCTTACAAAGGCAGAGTGGTTTTCAACCAAAACAACGGCTCCCTTGTCCTGCAGAAGCTGCGAGAGACGGACAGTGGCACCTATAAAGCAACAGTTAACTCGATGCAGGACAAAGCAGCAACAACCAATCTTACAGTGATCAGTAAGTCAAAATTGGTTGAAAGGATGTTTTTCTCTGACCATCAGTAGGGTGCACAGGCATGCCTCCCCCTAAGTGGACTAGAGGAGGACTTTCTGGTTTCATTACTGCCTTGAATGACATGGACTGGAGACCCAGAAGAATTGCTGGGAAATGTTGTAATGTATTCTGAGACTGAATCTGGCTGTGGGTTGAGATCTGGGTTGGGAATCGTGGCTGCTCAGTGCCTCCATTCTTGTACCTGCTCACTTCACCACGAGCAGCTGCTCACAGGAGGTGAATGTCATAAAATGCCCTCCAGAGACAGGATTTCTCACCAGGGTTTGCAGCCTCTCCCTTCACACCAGCATTGCCTTCCCCTGCCTCTGCACTTCCCTGCAGGACAAACAGAAACGAGAGCTCACCCTGGTTTGCATTGCCCTTTCCTAGAGCTCAGCAGCACTGCAGGAGCACCCTGCATGTAGGACATCCAGGGAAGGAAGACTTCAGGGGCATGTGGTTGCTACCAGGTGGAGGTCCAGATGTAGCTAAGAGCAACCCCAAATGGTGCAGGCACCCAGGTGCTAGCTGAGGGATGGAGTCTGACATCCTTTTGCCGTGGCATGGCTCTTCAGCATTGCTCCTCTGGGCTTTGGTCCATCTGGTGCTTGACCAGTGTAAATGGTCATAATAACAGAATCACAGAATGGTTTGGGTTGGAAGGGACCTTACAGCCCACCCCTTTCCAACCCCCTGCCATGGGCAGTGACACCTCTCACTAGCCCAAGCTGCCCCCAGCCCCATCTGAGCTGGCCTTGGGCACCTCCAGGGATGGGGCACCCATAGCTTGTCCTGACAGCCTGTGACAGTGCCTCAATACCCTCGTAATAAAGATTTTTTTCCTTGTATCTAATATAACCTACCCTTTTTTAGTTTAAATTCCTTACCCCTTGTCCTATCACTCCACTCCCTGACAAAGAGTCCCTCCCCAGCTTTCCTGTAGCCCCCTTTAGGTACTGGAAGGTTGGTAAAAGGTCCCCCCAGAGCCTTCTCTTCTCCCAGCTGAACACCCCCAACTCTCTCAGCCTGTGTCCTTGGCAGAGGTGCTCCAGCCCCCTGATCATCTCTGTTGTGGCCCTCCTCTGGACTCTTCTGATACGTCCATGTCCTTGTGCCAGAGCACCCCTCCACCCCACTGCTGTGCGGGGGCAGCTTTCTCCTCTTGGAAGTGTCCATAAAGTCCCCGTCATCACTTCCCAGCATAATCCCAAGGTGCAGCTCTGTCGGGTCGGTGTCCGTGGCCCCAGGGTGCCATGCCTGAGCTCCAGGGGCTGGTGCTGCCCACCCCAGGGGAGGTGCCGTGGCTTAAGGGCAGCGGCTGGGACATTGGCTCTGAGCTTGGTGGATGTTGCCCTGCTCCTGCACTTTCTCCCCTGCCAGACTCAACCGAGGCACTGAGCTGAGGTGCGAATGAGAAGGGGAGGTGCTGCTCACCCCTCATGGGGCTTTCTGTTCTTGCATCTCATGCGGGGCAGGTTTAAGGTGGGAGGAGAGGCAATCCCAGGCAGTGCTGCCATGTCGCTCTCTGCTTTCCAGAGCCCTTGCCCCAGCCCAAGCTCCTGAGCAGCTCAAACCTGGATGGTTCACTCATCAACCTGACCTGCGTGCTGCCAGAAGGAACGGTGGCTGATGTCTCCTGGAAGAAGGATGGACATCCCCTTCCTCCCGAAAAGTGCTTCCAGCTCACTGGGAAGAACACTGTGCTGCAGATAAGGAAGGCAGAGAAGTCGGATTGCGGCTCCTACTCCTGCATAATCAACAACTCCATAAGCTGGAAGGAGGCAGCCCTCAACCTGACCGTGACAGGTTAGCATTGCCCTGCCGGGGTGGGTCCGGTGGTTTGCCACCTTGTCACAGCAGCCCTGAGCCCACAGGTACCTGGACGAGACCCCCAGCAGCTCTGCTGTGGTCCTGGGGCTGGCAGATGGACTGTTCGTTGGCTGTTGTCTCACTTGGACCTGCAGCCTTTGTGCATTTAGGTGCCAGCTCAAGCCCGCTCTGTCTTCTCATCTCTAGCAGGTCTGGGCACCAGCACTTTGTCTCTGAGACCCTCGCAGGTTTCAGCTGCCTCTCGTGGGATCTGCCACGCAAGGAAACCCAGTAATCCTGTAGGGTTTCGAGCTTGTTGCAGACTCCTGCGATAGCTGCTCCATGTTGTGGGGTTGTCCTCCATGCAGGTCTTACACCTCCTACCTGTGCTGCACAGATGATGACCGCTGCTGCGCTGGTGCTCACTGCCATCTCTGCCGTCCTCTTCGTTATCCGGGTCGCTCAGCTGGGGAAGCTCAGACTCGGTGAGTGCCCACGCCTGAGCTCCTCTCTCCATGCCGTGGAGAGGGCAGAGGGCGAGGCAAGCCCCTTCTCTCCGAACTCACCGCGGTAGTTGGAGGAAGCTTGCTCGATGGTCGTGGAGTTCATGCACTTCTTCTTATGCTTCTGCGGCTTGAACAGAAAACAAAATTTCCTAGCAGCAGTAATCCCAAATGGCTTTGGGAGAAATTGGGCCACCCGCAGGTATCATGGTATGAGGCATAGGAGTTGTTCCTCTCTGTCCTCAGGAGTCCCTGGGGAGAAACAGAAAGGGCAGGACACAAAGAGCTTCCTGCGTGGAGGTGCTGAGAGCTGACCAAGGGCCATGTGGCATTGGGTTTGGTGACCAAGCACACTGGTGTTTGGGTCAGGATGGTGCAAACTGCTGTGCACCCATACCCAAGCTTACGGGTTAATGTGGGTGCTTCTGTAGCAACATGATGGTTAGCAGAAAAGAGACCATAAGACCTAGCCAACAGCAAGTCCTCCCACACAGTCTTGGTAGCCTTCTCACATGCTCTTCTACCCACCAAGAACAGTCCCCAGAGCAACAGAAACCATGTGGAGAACAGGTGTGAAACCCAATAGCAGGTAGGAAGGTTCTCTCACATGGATTTGTCCCACTACTAGCACTGGAAACATGCAACACTGGGTCTTGCCTTTGGGGTAATCTCTCCTGAGGAGCTCTACGTGCCTGATGCTTGTGGCAAGAGCTTGTGCCATCTGTGCTCTTCCCCACAACATGCAGTCTCCAGAAGAAATCCAGTGCTTGTCGGGTGGGCAGAATTGTATCGAGGTGTCAAACTAGATGAAATGAGTGTCTTGGTCAGCTCAGAGCAAGTCCAGATCTGGCTGGCATCTCATGGTTCCTCCTCAAGTCAAACAAAGCCCTTTGGAAGCCTACCAAAAGCCTCTGAAGTCCACCAGCGTTTGTCTTTGAGGTTTCTAAATCTCAGGAATTTGATTCTTTACAAGGGAAGCGTGTGCTTGGTGTTCACCTTCCCTTCCCAGGCTGCACCCTGGATCCCTTGGTGAGGTTCCGAGCCCTAACTCAAAGATATTTGCCTTTTTCCCAGGAAAGGAAGCGTGGGAATGGTTAATGATGTCCTTACTGGTGCTGCTGTGCACCTCTTCTCTCCTCCTGTTGCCTGTCTCTGTCATCTGGATGCAGGAAGATGGTAGGATTCATTTAAACTGAGTTGTTCTTCATTTCTCCCGTGTCTTCTCTTTGACGACACCAAAGACCTCCAGGTCTCTCCAGAAGCATCCTTGTCTGATGCAGTGCTGTTGGGTTTGGAGAATCAATGTCAGGGTTCCCTGCTCTGTAGCGTCTGCCTCGGCCAGGAGAAGCTTTCCCATCTCACCTCCTTGTTTAATTCTGCTCCCCACAGGTCATTCTGCTGCCTTCATCCTGCTCGGGCTTATCCTCTCAGCTGGGATCGTGGCTAAGGCACTGACGGCGGTGGCGATGTCGCCGTGCAGACCAGCAGTGCTCACACACTTCAGGTCCAAAGGCTGTGAGTTGCTGTCGGTGGCCTAAACCTGCGGTGCAAAAGGCCCCATGAGAGCCTGGGAGCAAACTCCCCGTGCCGGCCTGCCCTCCTCTCCCATTTCTCTCCCATCCACCAGAACTTCTCCCCTCTCCCAGGGCACCGTGTCATCCTGTGCATTACAGCCACGATGCTGGCAGTCAACCTGCTGTTCAGCAGCCTCCTGCTCCACAACTTCTATCAGCTCCATGGTAATGGGCGGCCGGGTTGGCACCGCGTGTGCCCTTGGTCGCCTTCCTTCTGGGGAGAGGTGGGATGTTCGGGGTGGGACTGGCCTCACCCAGGGAAGAGAAAGTCCTTGGGTGGCTTTGTAGGCTGTAGGTGATGCAGCCACGGCAAGCCTTGTGCTTAGATGGGAGGTCACAGCAGGGCACAGTTTGCCTCTGGAGCTCCAGAGCGTGAAACACCAGGATGCTCTGAATGACCTTCATGTTCTGTAGATGTTCAAGGGGGGCAGGAGAGCAACCACTGACAAGTTCTCACTGTCTCCTTGGCAGAGCGGGGCTGCTCAGAGGCTGTCAATCTGACCATCGGCTTCGTCATTCCTGCTGTAGCAGTCATCCTCATGCTACTGCTCCTCTTCCTGTGGTGTAAGTAGCCCAGAGGTTTCCTTCCAGACACACCAAGTACCTGCTCCGTCACTGAGACCCTGCTCTCAGCTCCCACCCCCTGGCAGCAGGTCTTGACACAAGAGGCAAAGTGCTTCTGCTTCACCCAGGGATGCTCAAGGAGGTGTTCGTGAAAGCAAGTTTCTCCTCCCGAACATGGAGGATGCTGTTCTGCTCTCCTCCTGACACAGGAGACGTGGGCTGGTGCCCAGCTGGCCACTAACCTGAGCAGTAGTGAGCCCATGGTGTGCCTCACCAGCTCCATGATGTGTTGAGGAGAGGGTGGGAAGAGGACCCCTGCTTTGCCAGGGTGTGCAGAATATTTGGGAATCAGAACTACAAGAAATATTGCACTAACCTACCAAGGGCTCGTAGGTTAGAGGTGCAAGGGCTTGCAGGCAGATGGGTGTCCATCTCTGTGCTGCCTTCTGGCTCTCCATCCAAAGCAGAGATCAGGTTTTGGACACAGAGGGGTTTGGCCACGGGAAAGCCTCCAAAACCCATTCTTCCCTGCAGTCGCATTTTCACATGTCCCCATGAAGCTCAGAGTGGTGTTGGAAACCCAGGAGCTGATGCCCTCCTCCTTCATTTTCAGCTTACAAGAAAAACCAGGAGAGGCATCAGCAGCTGGACCCCCAGGAGGTCACCCACAGCTTACAGACCACGTCCACCTTGGTGACTTCCAGCACGCATCAGCTGTCTCCTTCTCCAGTTGCTGCAGATACTCGTCATGTAACAATGAATATTTAATACTCACCGGGAAGCATCCATCTGCCTTCCTGCAGAACGGCACGGGTGGATTTGTCACCACCTGGGGGGTGACATCAGAAGAACCAGTCATTGGAAAAGCTGGTACATTCCTCCTAGGCCAGTCCAGACACTGAACTAGTGCCAAAGTGGATACTGGATGATTTGAGTCTTAAGGATTCTTTGTAATACATCTAGGTTAGATTGCAGCTCTTTTCTAAGGGAGCTTCCCGTAGTTCCCGACTGCATATCTCCTGTCCTGCAGATCACTGATGGTGCTCGAGAGCCTTTCCTTTTCCTCCAGCTACGGTTGGGTTGGGCATTAACACTGGAATGGGCTGGTACAGCCTCACTTGTTGTGCCTCTGTACTGGGTCTGGCTGGAATGTTAACTTTCCCGGCAGCAGCCCATACAGTGCCGTACGTGTACTTGTAGCTGGAACAGCAGTGTTATCACACCAGTGTTGTGTCTACTGCTGAGCAGCAGTGGCACAGCATTGGGCTTTTCTCTAACCCTCCTAGGGGGTGGGCAAAAAGTGAGGAGAGAAACATCACTAGGGCAGCTGACCTAAACCAACCAAAGGGATATTCCACACCATGGTGGCACACTCAGCATAAAGGTTGGAAACAGGAAGAAGAGGGGAGGGGTGGGCTCTCGTTGGTAAAACGTCGGTCCTCCTCTCGAACACCGGCTGCGTGCGTTGAGGCTTGCTTCAAGGACGTGGTCAATCATCGCTCATTTGTGTGAAATAGAGAGTAATTTCTTTCCTCTGCGCTTCCATAGCCTTCATTTATTTTGTTTGTTTTCCTCCCTTCTTTTTATTTTTCCCTTTTCCCCTCCCTTTTCCCCTTTCTCTTTTTCACAGAATCACAGAATCTCTAGGTTGGAAGAGACCTCAAGATCATCGAGTCCAACCTCTGACCTAACACTAACAGTCCCCACTAAACCATATCCCTAAGCTCTACATCTAAACGTCTTTTGAAGACTTCCAGGGATGGTGACTCCACCACCTCCCTGGGCAGCCCGTTCCAGTGCCTAACAACCCTCTCAGTAAAGAATTCTTCCTAACATCTAACCTAAAACTCCCCTGGCACAACTTAGCCCCTTCCCCCTCGTCCTGTCACCAGGCACGTGGGAGAACAGGCCAACCCCCACCTTGCTACAGCCTCCTTTAAGGTACCTGTAGAGAGCGATAAGGTCGCCCCTGAGCCTCCTCTTCTCCAGGCTGAACAAGCCCAGCTCCCTCAGCGCTCCTCGTAGGACTTGTTCTCCAGGCCCCTCACCAGCTTCGTCGCCCTTCTTTGGACCCACTCAAGCACCTCCATGTCCTTCTTGTAGCGAGGGGCCCAAAACTGAACACAGTACTCGAGGTGTGCCTCACCAGAGCCGAGTACAGGGGGACGATCACCTCCCTAGCCCTGCTGGCCACACTGTTCCTGATACAAGCCAGGATGCCGTTGGCCTTCTTGGCCACCTGAGCACACTGCTGGCTCATATTCAGCCGACTGTCCACCATCACTCCCAGGTCCTTCTCTGCCTGGCAGCTCTCCAACCACTCATCTCCCAGCCTGTAGCTCTGCTTGGGGTTATTGCGCCCAGGTGCAGGACCCGGCACTTGGCCTTGTTAAACTTCATGCAGTTGACCTCAGCCCATCGGTGCAGCCTATCCAGATCCTCATGCAGAGCCTTCCTACCATCGAGCAGATTGCCACACGCACTAGCTTGGTGTCATCTGCAAACTTACTGAGGGTGCACTCGATGCCCTTATCCAGATCATCGATGAAGATATTAAAGAGGACCGGCCCAGCACCGAGCCCTGGGGGACGCCACTAGTGACTGGCCTCCAACTGGACTTGACTACATTCACCACGACTCTTTGGGCCCGGCATCCAGCCAGTTTCTAACCCAACGAAGCGTGCGCCAGTCCAAGTCAAGAGCAGCCAGTTTCTTGAGGAGAATGCTGTGGGAGACGGTGTCAAAAGCCTTGCTGAAGTCAAGGTAGACCACATCCACAGCCTTTCCCTCGTCCACCCAGCGTGTCACTTTGTCATAGAAGGAGATCAGGTTCGTCAAGCAGGATCTGCCTTCCATAAACCCATGCTGACTGGGCCTGATCCCTGCTTACCCTGCAAGTGCCGCATGATGACTCCATATTTTTATTTCCCCTTAGTTAAATTGTTTAGTATGGTAGTCTTATTCAATTGTTATTATGATTTCCCTTTAATTAAATTATCCTTATCTCAACGCGTGAGTTGTTCTTTGCTTTACTTCTCCCCCTCCTCATGTAAAGGAGGGGAGTGAGAGAGCTGTTGTGGGGTTTAGCTGCCCAGCACGGTAAAACCACCACAGCCCCACATTGGGTGCCATTTGTGGTGACCGAGTGCACGGACTCTTCGTGTGATCAAGTCTCTATTGCAACCCGGCTATGCTCCTTTTACACACTTCCCTTCAGAGGTTTTCCTTCCACAAATCCTCCAGCCCCGTTTACAGTCCTTTGATCCTTGTATTTCTCAGGCTGGTAGGTACCTTACTGCAACCTCCTGTTCCCATGCTGGGTTTTGGTCACACTTTGTTACTTTCCTCTTTCCTGGGCCTCGTGGCAGTCCTTGCTCTCACCTCCTCTTGTTATTCCGTATGCCTCAGACTCTGTGGTGACTCGCATCCCCCACATTTCTCTTGTCTTCAGCACTCCTTTCCTGATTTTTCACGATCTTATCCACATTTCTAACTAAACCTACTTTTTCTACATTTCCCACAATTTATCCGTATACGGTGCTAATTAAACCTACATTTTCTGCATAGAATCATAGAACCATGGAATATCCCGAGTTGGAAGGGACCCATGAGGATCATCAAGTCCAACTCCTGGCACCGCACAGGTCTACCCAAAAGTTTAGACCATGTGCCTAAGTCCGATCTCTTCTTAAATTCAGACAGGCTTGGTGCAGTGACTGCTTCCCTGGGGAACTTGTGCAGAACCTCACCTGATGTCCAGCCTAAACCTCCCTTACCTCAGCTTAACACTGTTCCCCCTGCACTGGTGTTTACACAGAACAGGTCACCTGCCTCCCACTCCCCCTCACGAGGAAGCTGCAGACCGCGATGAGGTCCCCCCTCAGCCTCCTCTTCTCCAGGCTGACCAGGCCCAGTGCCCTCAGCCGTCTTCCCCTCTAGGCCCTTCACCATCTTCATCCCTCCTCTGGACACTCTCCAACAGTTTCGTGTCCTTGTGCTGTGGTGCCCAGAACTGCTCACAGCACTGGAGGTGAGGCCGCACAGCGCAGGGCAGGCAGGCAGGACAGTTCCTTCCCTCGACCGACTAGATGCCGTGCTTGGTGCCCCAGGGTACGGCTGGCAATATGTGATTACAGATCCCACACTGGTCTACCTTTTGCAGGTGCCCTTTCCTGGGTACTGACCATTATTGTGGTTTGTAAGTTCTCCTTTTCTATTTTTATATTTATATATATATATATTTTCATATATATATTTATATAAATGTTGAGTGATTTTTGGAACAGCAAGGAGGCCATGACTTGTTTCAGCTGATCAAACCAAGGTACGAGGGCGACTACGAGGAGTTCCCATGACGGTGTTCCCATACCGCCCGACTGAGGAATTAAAAATATTGTTGCCAGCAGCTGGCTTCAAGGACAAGATCTGCGTGACTGGTAATCACAAGGGGGTTGTTTTCTTGCAGTTGTTTTCTTGCAGTTGTCTGAGTGCATTTTGACCGATAAGCTTGTGTGAGACACTATCCGTCATGTTAAGTTTGCTATGAGAATCAGGCTGTTCGGGTAATAAGAGAGAGCATGATCTGACCATACTGGTGTCTGTCATTTTTCGGCTGTTCTTCCTGCAACATATATATATATATATATATATACGCATTTTCTGATTTTTTATATATATTTAAAAGAACCAGTGACCTAGCCTGTGCTGATTTCCCTTGCACAGGCTCTTAACTGACCTTGTGGTCACACCACAGCTGTCAGTGGTTTCCATCCTTCGTAGGCTGTAGACTTTTGGGTTCAGCTGAAGGTCCTTTGTTGTCCCCCCTGGTATCAGATGAGAAATATTCAAACACGAAAAAATTAAATAAATAATAATAAAAAAGAATCCTACACTCACCTTTTTCTTTGCTTTGCTAGAGCCGCTGCAATAGAAGGATTCCATTTGGATCCTCTGCTGGTGTCCCGCTGGGTCTCCTCAAGCACAGGATAGCTCAGTGCTATCTGGGCCCCAGCTCTGGGGCCAGATCCTGCCTTGGCCAGCTCTGGACCAGGTTTCTCGAGGGGGTGCGGGCCAGGGCAGACTGCTTTACAGAGCAAACTAAAGCTGAGCAGTGCCCTGGGTTGCAACAAATCCCGTCACAAGGGAAAGCGCATCCCCGGGGCAAGGAAAGCCCCTGTCCCAGCCAGGCCGGAGCACAGCTTGCCAAGGTGCCTCCTCCAGGCCAGGGCAGGAGCTCGTGGGGCCAGGACCCAGGCGCTGACAAGGGCTCAGCCTCGTGGCACTTGAGAGAAGAGCAGAAAAGCTTTTCTGCTTGCAGAGCTCGCTTAGCCCCCGCCTGGGACGCACCAAGCCGTGGTGCTCGGAGGTGCCCGCAGCACCCTCCCGGTGAGGTTACGTGTGTCAGAGAGAGGACAGGGGCAGCACGCGTCCCCTTCCAGGGGGCCGGGGGGGCTCTGCAGGCCAACAAGGGCACCGGTGGTGGGAAAAGCAAAGTCAGAGGCGGCAGAACTAAACCAGGTAAGGAACCAAGATCGTTCTGGCTTTCTGGATACCTGGCAGTGGGTGACCAGGTGACAGAGTCCCACACGGTGGCTCAGACTCGTCCTTCTCTTTCTGTCTCCGTGCAGGAAGATGCCCACTGGCAATGACAAGCGGGGGAGAGCCCCAGGGAGCCCCCTGGCAGTGCCCAAGGCCAGGCTGGATGGGGCTGGGTTCAGCCTGGGCTGCTGGGAGGGGTCCCTGCCCATGGCAGGGGCTGGAATTAGATGGTCATAGAAACACAAGGTTGGAAAGGACCTACAAGGTCATCTAGCCCAACCGTCCTGCTGTCACCAATACTACCACCTAATTTACTAAATCTTATCTCGTAGCACCTCCTCCAGGCACTTGTTGAACACTGCCAGGGACGCTGATTCCACCACCTCCCTGGGCAGACCATTCCAGTGCGTGACCACTCTTTGAGAGAAAAAGCTTTTCCTGATATCTAAATCTCCCAGGAGCAACTTGTGGCCATTTCTTCAAGTCCTATCATTAGTTATCTGAGAGAAGAGGCCGGCTCCCTCCTCATCACAACCTCCCTTCAGGCAGTTGTAGAGAGCAATGAGGTCTCCTCTGAGCCACCTCTTCCCCAGACCAAACCACCCAGTTCCCTCAGCCGCTCCTCACAGGACTCGTGCTCCAGGCCCTTCACCTCCCTGGTCCTGCTGGCTGCACTGTTGCTGATACAAGCCAGGATGCTGTTGGCCTTCTTGGCCACCTGGGCGCACTGCTGGCTCACGTTCAGGCAAGCATCGACCAACACCCCCAGGTGCTTTCCTCTTCACAGTCCTCTAGCCACTCTGCCTGTAGCTCTGAATGGGGTTTGGCCAAAGTGCAGGACCCGGCACTTGGCCTCGTTGAACTTCTTCCCATTTGCCTCAGCCCAGGAGTCCAGCCTATCCCGACCCCTCTGAAGGGCCACCCTACCCTCAGGCAGGTGGACGCTACCTCCCACCTTGGTGCCATCTGCAAACCTTCTGAGGGTACACTCAATGCCCTCGTCTAGGTCAACAATAAAGGTATTAAACAAGATAGGCCCCAGTACTGACCCCTGGCAGACAACACTTGTGACGGGACACCAGCTGATCCTCAGAAGCTCTGCTGGAAGCCAAATAAGTTGCAGAACAAGGGGGAATGCCCCTAAACTAAAAGATGTTAGGGTTAGATGAGATACAAGGAAGAAATTCTTTGATCTGTGTGTGGTGAGGCCCTGGCCAGCCCAGCTGCTGGTAAAGCCAGACAGACACGACATTTTTGTCATCATCATCCCCGTTCCCCACCTGATGCTCTGGCTGCCCCTCCTGCCTGCACATCCCTACCCTGCTGTGGGTTTTGGGTGCCGCACAGGGCTTATTTCCCATAGCCACAGACAACAGCAATATAACAGGGAGAACGTGTGTGCTTTTATTTGTAGCAAGAGACATGAAAAACTGCACTTTTCCCAAATGATTTATAGACAACACTCAAAACAGTTTGAAAATATTTTTTCTGTAACATTTGGCTCCCCTGAACACCACAAGCACTGCAGGGAACTGAACAACTTTTAACACAGCTTAAAAATTAGCCTGAAAACTACTCTAATACATCCAGTTTGCTTCACTTCCTTTAATTTTTCATTTGTGACGTGGTTGAGAGATGACATTTTGCTGCCAACCTATTTACACTGGATGTTTCAGGACTTGTGCCATGCAGAGCCCAGCTGCACCTTCCAGCTCATCCTGCCACAATGCCAAGCACAAACACAGCCAGAACCATTCAGCAACGCAAACAAGCACCAAACTATGTCCAACTTTTTTTTTTTTTTTAAAGAAAACAGCTTCACTGAAATTTTGTTCTTCTGCACGTCAGCTTTGACTCCCCCTAGAGAACTCTGCTAGGATTTTCACCATGAAAATGGTGTAGGATGGCGTAGCAATCACTCCCACCATAGGATGTGATTTGACCTTCTCCTGGATGCACTTGCACTCCAAAGATGTATCTCCATAGGGTTAATGCTGAGGACAATGAAACTTCTGGCTTTTCAGTGCTAAATTTTCAAAAAGTAAGGTCATCATCCGGGGAGTTCCTCAACCTCCACCAGTTGAAGATCCCTGTGGACAAATATGACCTCTGTTAAACACCCCAGGGATGAAGATGCTCAACGAGTGGCAACACTCAGGCAAGAAGCCTCAAGCCTGGAGGCTATTTTCACTGCCTGCAAGGAGCTTCCTATTTTCAGCCACCATATTCACTCCTTGGGCCCCACTTTGGGTGCTTCACTACTGCGAAGCTGGTCCCAGCACTCACCTGCCAGCAAGCCGATGCTAACGAATACCACGATGAGGATGAAAAACGCCCTGTCGTTGTCTGAAAAAAATAAACAAAACCCAAAATTCCCAGAATTTTGCCCAGGGAAAGAAAAACTCCTGCCACTGGGCAGGCTGGTGCAGAGACACAAGTCCTCAGTGGAGCCCTGCTGTTCCCACTCCTCGTCTCAGACTGTGCTGGGAAGCCACGAGACCTCAGGGAACGGGGCCAGAGTGACCGTTTTGGGGCCATTCCCCAGCTTTCCATTCCCGTGCCCGGGGAAGGAAGCCCCACTTACTGTGGACGCGCAGCAGGAAGGAGGTTTCGTTGTGGCTGACCGCGTTGCTGATTATGCACGTGTAGTAGCCGGTGTCGTTCATCAGGGCTCGGTGGATCTCCAGCGTGTTGTTGTGGATGAACTGGAGGCCGTTGCTCTCCATCAGCAGCTTCCCGTTCCTCTTCCACCAGTACACGTCCACCTGCCCCTCCAGCACGTTGCAGTACAGCTTGGTGTCGCCTCCCACCTCCACGAAGGAGTTGCCCAGGATTTCTGGCTCGGAGAGCGGCTCTGCGCAGATGGAGCACCCGTCGGCACTGACACCCCCGCCTCGAGGGTGCCAGCACCCGGGCAGCAGCTCCAGCTCCCCGGCTGCGGCGCAGGGTTTGGCACTCACCGACCACGCGCAGCTCCAACCAGCCCGTGGCCTCCGACTCGGAGCGGAAGCGGTAGAACCCCCCGTTCCACCAGCGCAGCACCAGCTGCAGCGAGAAGTCCATCTCGCTGAGCCTGGCGTGGCCCACGTAGGCGCGGGAGATCTCGGCCGACTTGTTGGGAACCAACGTGGCGATGAGCTCCTTGCGCGCGCCGGACTCGTACTCCCAGGACGCCGTGGTGCCGGCTGCCCTCGGCTCGACGCTGAAGAGCACAGTGCAGCCCCTGGCCGAGACCAGGACCTCGGACACCGGCTTGAGGTCGGCAGAGTAGCACGGGAAGAGCGTGCGGGCTGCAAGGGAGGAACGCGGCGGGGCTAGCGGGACGCACCGGCATCCAGCAGGCAGCTGGGCAGGGAGAGCCGCCCTGGCTCGGCTCCTGCGCAAGCGGCGGTGCTGGGGACGGGATTATTTCGGGGGGGCTGGGTGGGGCTTTAAGCAGCACCACGGAGAAGCAGGAGGCTGCGGAGGCGCTGCCTTCATCTCCCTGAAAGCCTGCGCTGCTTCGCTTCGCAGCCGGCTTCTGCCTGAGGAGTTTCCACGCGCGGTACGGCTGCGAGAGCCGCCTGCTCCCGGCCCTGCTCTATGGGGGGGGCTTGGAAGTGAAGGAGCCCCAGGGAGCCGCAATGGAGCCAGGGCAGCCCCCTCCCAACCACCCATTTGCTCCCCAAAACATTTTGAAATTGTTATCGAGGCTGCGAGCACGCAGCAGGGGCTTTGGGGTGGGAAAAGCAGCCGGGAGAAGGAGCCTGGTGGAGGGGGGAGCCTGCACCGCCTGGCCTACCACAGCCACCACCAGCACCACCACCACCAGCACCACCACACTCACCACCTCCACCACCAGCACCACCGCCCCCAGCCCCAGGACTTGCCTATGACAGCCAGGCCGGCCGCTGGGCCTGTCCCGGCGGAGGCCAGGAGGACGAGGAGGGGAAGGGCGAGCATGGCAGACCTGGGGCGCAGCGCGGCCTGCGGCAGGGCTGGGGCTGGGACCGGAACCGGCACCGGGTGCCACCGCCTCCTGTCGCCGTCACTCAGGGGTGACACCTTCTTCCAGAGGGGGTGAGCCCCAGAGCCCCCACTCCACCTTCTGCCAGCTGCACGCTCGGTTGCCCTGCCTGGGCCTTGAGCATTACCATTGCTGTTGTTGGCACCTTCTCCTTTTGTGAGCCCCAGAGCATCCGATCTGTTGCACAGGGGCACCTCAGGGGCAAGGGGGAGGCGCCTCACTCTTGCCAGGACTTAAGGCAGGGCTGCTCAGCCCGCGGCAGGGCACGGTACCACACATTGATCTGTTGCTCGATTCCTGGATGCATTGCAGCCTGCCGAGCTCCTCTTGCAACCTGGCACCTTGCTTAAAGAGTGCATCCACTGGTCACACTTGCACCCCCAGCACCCAGCTCTGCCTTCAGGCCCTAGCTGGATGTCCAGATGGTGGACGTCCCTGCAACAGAGGGTCTTATCAACTTAACAAGTCAAAAAGGAAAAAAAAAAAAAAAAAAGAAAAAAAAAAAAGACCTAAGAGCCAGGGTTATGGACTTTCTGAGGAGTTTGGCCCAGTTGTCTCATTTGCAATGCATTGCTGCTATTAATCGGCATAGACAGAGGATGGCATGAGAGCAAGATCGACTAGGTCGATGAGGTTTTTGTATGAAAGACTTCTGTATTTGGCTTCCAGCAGAGCTTCTGAGGATCTGCTGGTGTCTCGTCACAAGTGTTGTCCGCCAGGGATCAGTACTGGGGCCTATCTTGTTTAATACCTTTAAATCACCTCTGGGACTTGATAGGCTGTCGAGACTGATGGCACCCTGGTTTTAGGCAGAAAGACACCTTAAAAAGGGACATGCCAAGGAAACAGCAAGGAAGCAGTGCAGGAAGGAAACAGCCTCAGAAGCTCTGCTGGAAGCCAAATACACAAGCATTTCATACAAAAACCTCATCGACATGGTCAGTATTACTCTCATGCCATCCTCTATGCCAATCAGTAGCAGCAATGCATTGCATTGAGACAGCTGGACCAACCCTCAAAAGAGTCTAGGAGCGTTGGGGAAAGATGACAGGGTTGCTGTGCTCATTCCCAAAATCGATGAGGGCTGGACCCAGCACAGATGTTCATGGAGCTCCTGGTCCTGCTCATGCTGCTGTGCAAGTGCTGCTGGTCCCTGGGTGGCCCGTGAGGGGGGATACCTGCAGGATGGCCGTGCCAGCTGGAGAGCTGCATCCCGTGGGCATCCCACACCGGGGATGCAAGGGATGCATTTTGCTGAGAGCCAGAGGAGGTGCGTGAGGAAGTGGTGGTGGGGCAGGGGGGGCTGCGAGCGCTGTGCTGCAAGGGGAGGGAATCTGCCACTGATCTGCTGACTCTTCCCTCTGCAGGGCAAAACGTGGGCCTCCTCGTGGAAATCCCGCAGGATGCAGTCACTGGCACCGTGGGCAGTCCGTGCTCCTGCCAGTCTCCTACAGATGCAACAGCACCCCTTGCTTCCCGGTGGCAATTCAGTGGATGTTTGGTCACACCTCACAAGTAATCTACACCTGCTCAGTGCAGAACTGCTCCCTGGATGATGGGGGGGCTCCAAGAACTGCTACCAAAAATGTTCACCAATCCTACATATTCGGGCAATTTTGTGTTCTTCCCCGAGAACGCATCCCTGCTGCTGCAGGACCTGCGGCTCAGTGACAGCGGGGTGTACACCGTCAGCTTCCAGCACCAAAGACAAATCAGGAACATCACCCTGACCGTGCTCATGCAGCCTGTCCCCACAGGTCCTACCAGCAAAGGTAAGTGTCCCTGTGCTGCCCTGGCAGCATTCCTGCCCCTCCTGATGGGACAGCACAGGACCCTGCGGAGGTGTCCTGGGGAGGTGGCAGCCTCCCGATGCCACATCTCCTCTCTCCTACCGCAGGCACTTCTCAAACAGCAGGAAGAATAGCCACACGCATCCCTTGCTACATCCTCGGAGGCTGCTACTGCTTCATCCTGCTGCTCCTGCAGCTGCTCTTCCACCTGTGCTGGCTGCGGGGCAGCCGTGGGAAGCCTGCGGCTGCTGCTGGGGAGAAGGGAGCCAGCGTGCGGGAGCAGCCAGGGCCGGGCACAATGAAGTGCCCGCAGTGCCTGGGCACAAGGAAGGCGCTCAGCTGCTGCCTCGGGGCTGCTTTTCCCTCTGGCACCTGCCCCCTCTGCTGGACAAACCGGGCTCCCGGCCCCTGCCTGCCCCCAGTGCACAACCACTCCCCACGCTCACATACCCCTGCTGTGAAATTCCTGCTCCCAATTCAAACACCAAATAAACACCTTTCCTCTGGCCCTCCCTGTCTCCAAAGTGCCTGGCATGGGGCTGCAGCACCACCTGAAGCAGTTCCAGCAGCAAAGCGAGAGCTGGGAGAGATTCCCAAAGCTTCTGGCCGGCCCCAGGTGGCAGTGGCACCTCGCAGTGGGGCTGGAGACTCCAAAGGCTGCTTTCGTGGGGCAGGGGCTGGTTGGCTGCTGAGGCTGAAGGGTGACAGCTCAGGAACATCCTCCAAGCGATTGAGCTGCATCCCCTGGAAAATCCCCTCAAAAATGGGTATGCGATGGACGCATTTTCTGGCAGCTCCCTGCTGTGAGCGTGGAAGGGGTGCTGGGGCAGAAGCAGCGCCCGCAGTGGGGGCACAGGGGACACCCCACAGCCCCCTCTGTCCCCGCAGCCCCAAAGCGTGCAGGTGGCACAGGAAGGAGCCGGGGCTCGCCCGCCCGCCCGCAGCGAACCCACGGTGCGAGGGGCTGAGCGAGAGCCTCCGACTTCCTCCTGGCCCAGGCGAGCGCAGCAGCCGCAGGCGATGTGTCCCGGCCGGCGCTGCTGGGGCCTCGGCTCCCTCCTGCTGCTGCTGCTGCTGCTCGGTGAGCTGGGACGGGGCCACTGGCTTTGCCCTGGGGGTAGCTTGGGGGTTGTGGCTGGAAAAGCCAGCAGAGAGGAGGCTGGGCCAAGGGGCTGGGGGTGTAGGTGATGCGGGGCCCACCCTGGGATGGCTGCATCCAGTGGGGTTCCCAAACACAAGGGCACTGCACTGAGGTCTGGTGTGTGGGCGTGAGGCTCCTGTCAGGGGGCGGTGGGGCAGGGTGGGCTGAGCGCTGTGCTCCAAGGGGGGAGAATCTGCCGCTGCCCTCCTGAGCTGCTGATCTGCCTCTTCCCCTCTGCAGGGCGAAACCTGGGCTTCCTCGTGGAAATCCCCCAGGATGCAGTCACTGGCACCGTGGGGCAGTCCGTGCTCCTGCCCGTCTCCTACAGATGCGACAGCACCTCTTGCTTCCCACTGTCAATTAGGTGGCTGTTTGGTCACACCTCACAAGTAATCATCGCTTGCTCAGTGCGGAAGTGCTCCCTGGATGATGGGGGGGCTCCCAAGAACTGCTCCACAGAATGTTACCCCTATCCTGCACACTGGGGCCGTGTTGAGCTCTTCCCCAAGAACGCATCCCTGCTGCTGCGGGACCTGCGGCTCAGTGACAGCGGGGTGTACACCGTCAGCCTCCAGCACCAAATACAAATCAGGCACATCACCCTGACCGTGCTCCAGCAGCCTGTCCCCACAGGTCCTACCAGCAAAGGTAAGTGTCCCTGTGCCAGGCACAGGCACCTCCTGCACTGCCCCAGCCATGGGAAGCATCGGGCACAGACAGAATTTCGGTCCCTCCTTCCACGGGGCCAAGCCACTGCAGTGATGAGAGGATTCCCAGGGGTGTCCTAGGTGCTGCTGGTTGTGCTCCTCCAGTTGTAGCTGGAAGCCCAGCGTTCCTCCCTCTGCCACCGTTAGCTAGAAATACGAGTGAGTGCCTCTTGCACAGCCGCTTGTCTCTGCAGGAGAAAGGCTCCACAGCAGCGTTGCCTTTAGCTGAAAGGAATGGCTGCAGAGAATGAACGGGAGAGGTGGGTTCAGGAACCCAGGCACCAGGTCTGGGTCCTGTACTGGGGAAATTGGTTATGGACTGGGCAAATATATTATGTACTGGGGCAAATATTTCCTGGGGAGAATAGGGCACTTGGGGGTAAATCAGCGGCCACAGAGGCTGAGAAAAAAATGCACCAAATGCTCTCCTACCACTCTGGTGCAACCCGACATGCAACGTCCATGAAATAATCACCAGGGCAGTACCTGCTGCCACTGCTTTCCTTTAGGAAGCACTTACAGCACCTGTTGTCTTCCAAATGCCAGGCACCAGCAATCAAGACCACATTCATAACTACATAATTGGAGCTTGCTCATTAATCTTTCTCCTGCTGTTCCTGGTCTTCTGCATTTGGCGCTGGGGTAGGTGGCTCTTGCACTACAAACTTTGAGGTTGCACCTCTGGTTCCTTCAGGTATATTCCCTGGGGATAAAGGTAGTGGGGGGGCTCTGGAGAGGTTCTGCTCTTCACATCAGAATTATTCCTTTCCTGTGAGGTCCCCTTCAGCGTACCACCTCCTTCCATCTGTAGAGAGTCACAGTTTCTAGTCTGTGATGCAGCTGAACGAACAGAAGCACAGCACGGGGCTGTTGCAAAGCTTTTCTGGAGAGCCCATACCTTCTGGTGCTGAGACCAGAATCAAGTGGCTGCATCGCTTCTAGTCTGTAAAAGATGTACAACGCCATGGACTCAGAAACGTGTCCTCTAAGTGTGGCCAGACTGTTCTGTTGGGGACACTTTAAAACTCCATCTGGGGAGAGCACCTTGGGATGTGTGCACTGGAAAATAAACCGGCAAGGTGCTTATCTCCATGGCTCCCATCAAAGCCTTCACCCCCGAGGATGCCTTTGTCAGGAGACAAGTTCATTTGTTTCCAAGGGGGGGATTTCACCCGTGCTTGGCTGGAGCAGAACTCTCCGTCTTGATGGCAAAATCCTCATTAACCCCCTGGTGAAAGTGCCAGTATATTATCTCTGGTCCTCCAGGGCTACGATGGGCAGGGTGCAACCTGTCGGTAACAAAACCTTCTTTTTCCGAGGTGCAGTGCAGAAGAAGAAGATGAGAATCGTTAAACAACAGCAGGTACAGAAGAAAAATTTTTGAATGTTCTTTGGGTAAATGCTAACTGCTGGCTTGAATAAGATGCACTGAGCTACAAGAATTGGTTGCTGAATTTAAAATTAGGAAGTTAATTCCGTGTTGTAAGGGCAAGCTGCAAAGTGGTAAATGACCCTGGGGTGCCGCTTTCCCCCAGCTGCACCTTTCCCCTTCGCCTCCCTCCCCGACCCCAAAGGACCTGATTTTACCTTCGTGGCTGAGAAGCCAAGGGACGGCTTTGGCTGACCGCGGCCAGGAGGGTGCAGAATGGTTAAATGCAGAGCAATGTGCAGATGATCACCCTTCCCTGCCTGGCAGCCTCACGGGTTTCTGTCGGGGCACTACTTGAGGGGTCTCTGTGGGCCGTGCAGACAGCCAGGATCAACCCCGACCCTCCCGTGGGCAAAGCCACCCGGGCTTTACATAGCTCCTGCTGAGTCCTCCTGGCTTGCAGTTAGCAGCTCCAGGACCCCTCCTGATCCCGACATCCTCTGGAGAAGGCTCTCTCTCACCCTGGGTGTTTTCTCTGTGCTTCTCAGGAGTCCCCCGAGGATAACACTGCAGCGGGGGAAGTAACAACCATTTATTCCAGAGTCGGAGACAGCTTTGAACATCCAGAGCTGAGAGAATCAGCACAGGTCATCTACTCATCCATAACCTCCCTCAATTCCTGAGGACAGGACTGGGCACCACCAGCTCCTGCTTTGGCTGCGGGAGCTGCCCGCAGAGCTCTGAACTTTCCAAGAGAGAGCCCTGCCGAAAAGGTGGCTGGTGATTTTGTCACTGACCAGAGAAAGGGGCCCAAGGTAAAGGCAAATCAGCAGAGCATCCGTGGGAAGCCTGATTCCACTGACTCACCTTAATCTGAGGGCTAACGGAGAGCACTGGATGTATTTCAGTGCTGTGCTCCAGGGTCACTTACCAATTGTCTTGTCATACTGAAAGAATGCATGAAGAAGGCCTTTTGACCTGGAAAGCTGTCCATATTTTTAGGAGTATGCCAAGTCACTGGGGAGCAGACCCTTCCTGCCATGAAATCTGCTTGGCCTTGGGATCCCAGGGCAAATGGTTCCTCTGCTGATCGTCTGAAAAGTCCCCTTGAAGGGCAAGGAGCTGGGGCTTTCTGTGCAATGGAATTCCTGGCACATGGTGACGTTCCTTTAAAACTGTACAGGTGGAAGAAAGCTGAGACACCTAACTCTGTTTTAAAATTAAAGGCCACATCTCCCCTAGCAGCACCAGCTTTTTTAAAATGCAGTAAGGGCATAAATCGTTTTGGTTTTGCTCTGGGCTTCACGGAAAACAAGAGAGAACATACCGAAACGTGGGGCCCCATCAGTAATAAACGGATGCTAGGACAGGACAAGAGTGCTAGGCATCTCCCGACCACAGCCTGACCCAGAGAGGGCACGGAAACTGCTGGTGCCGCCTTCCTCTTTGTGTGCTCCTGTGTCAGCTGGGATGATGTTCAGGAGGGACAATGATGATGACAGTGGAGGTCCAAGAGCCCAGCATCAGCAGCCCCTCCCCTGGCTCCGGGTGAAGGACGTGGCTGCTCTGCTCTTGGAAAGCCCTGCTAACCTTCACGACAGCAGAGTTTTTTTTTTTTCTCCAGAAAATAGAAGCTCCTTGTGACTTAACAAAAACCACAAAAGCTGAAGTCACCTTGGGTATGCACAAAGCTTTTGCAGTGGTTAGCGTGAAGCCTTAAGTAGCAGGAGAGAAGAAAGTACTAAAGTGAAGCAGTAGAAGATAATTGCACAGGAAATGTGACTATCAGTCCTCAGGCATATGTGGTCACTGGTTGTCCTCTCAGCAGACCTCATGTTGTTCCTGACCCCTGCTGAAGGATTTGGAAACACCATCCCCAGAGAGCATGGCAGGACAAGGGAGGACTGCTGAGATCTGCTCCTCCACAGCAGTGAGTGGAGCCCACCCCCAGCAGAAAAAGCTCTTGATCTCCCTGGTGCCTGCAAGAGCACAAAATAACCTGCACCAAAATGAATACCGAGGTCTGAGTTTGGACACTCAGAAACACAACCACCCCTTTACAAGCCTTGCATGTCCCAGAGCAGCTTCTTCTTGGAGAAGACACCTTTGGAGAGCCTGGTCCCTGAAACGTCACCTGCAAAGAAGACCTGCAAGGCAGGGGGGATTAAATCCTCCCTGTGGGACCAGGGCCTCGGGGGGCACCAGGGAGCCCTTGCAGGAGGTGGTGTCCTGCTGCACCCATGCTCAGCTAAGGCACAGGGAGCAAAGTGCCCCTTCTGCTTCCACGGGTTTTCTCAGCTAAAATAAAGTTTTGCAAGAGTTCCCAGAGTTTTGCCTTATTCTCCCGCTCTTCGGTAGCATTGAGGCACGTTGTGCTTTCTTTTTGGCAACTCACTTGCTTTTGGACTAAAATTCTCTTTCTGCCGTCCTTGGTCTCAGGCAGGTGAGTTTGCCCTGCTGGAGCGGTGCCACGCAGAAGGGGCTGCAGGACTTGGGGTGCCAGAGGAACTGCAGTGCCCGGTTCTGGAGGATTTGGGAAGCGTTTGGTCCATGCATCTCGAGAGAAAGGCCAGTGTCTGCTGGTGCTGCATTGGCACTGATTTGGCCCAGTTTTGTGCTTGCGAGGCCTGCTGAGACCTGCCCTCCAGGGTGGGCCATATGCAGAGGGGATCCCTGCATTTGTGGCGTGATGAGGTTGAAACTCCACACTTTTTGGGGGGCTACACGTGTAGGCCAGGGGAGGGGAAAGCAGGCCCCATGCGTGCCTCACACAGCAGCACAGTGCAGGCAGACCTCACAGAGAGGCTGACAAAGTATGGGCTTGATAGGTGAATTTTTCAGTCTGGTGGGGCTGGAAACTAGGTAAACAGCCAGGCCCAGACATTCAAAACCCAACAGGACATGGAGGTGGGCAACCAGCTCCTCGGAACGCAGTGCCACTCCTCCCCGCAGGAACAGCAGCGGCTTCGTGGCACGCCGGGGCGGGAGCAGCTGCTGGCAGCAGAAAACCTCCCAGGAAAGAGGAGAAGAGGCAGCAGGAACGGAGAGGAGCCATCAGCAGGGAAACGGTGAGCCTGGTGCCAGCCCACCCTCGGCACTGCCCTCCTGAGCATCAGCAATCCAGCCCCCTGCAAGCAACTACCTGACTTGCAATCATCATTACTTTCAAAATACAGGATTTTTTGAGCCTTTTCTCCTTGGCAGATGCAGCTGCACCGTCCCATAGAGCTGCTGGGGACCAGCTGGATGCTCCTGGCAGGTAAAGTAGGGGATGATGCCACCCAGCAGGCTCGGGGCTGGATTCTCACCTGCTGCAAACCAGCAGAGGTTTCAGCAGAGCTTTGCAATTGTGCGTGGGTAGCGCTGGTCCATGTGGATTAGGCTTTATAAAGGGGACAAATTGCTTGTCCTGCAAGGAAGGGCATCTCTGCTCCACTGTCCAAAGGCGGAGGAGGTAGAAGCAACTCAGAAGCATGGAACCGAGAATAAACATCCTCTGCGGGTAGGTTTATCTGAGACCAGGATATGTAACAACACAGAATTTATTGCAGTTATGGAAATAATCTCACTGT